GGTCTACTGGCTGGTGGAGTCTGTTCGTGCCATACGGGGGTGCAGGAGACGGGAAAACCCCAATGCGCCGTCACAGGCCCATCCCATCCTGGCTCTGATGTCGGCCACACCAGGGGCAGGGGAGTTGTTCCCTGGAGCAGCTTTCACCAGGCAGCTCAGCCATGGAGCCTGGTGCCAGGAGGGTCTCTGAGGGCACCAGGCTGCTCCTGGCATCCAGCACAGCAGCAGGTGACAGGACTCCTGGGTTTTATTCCCATCTCAGCCATGGACATGCTGGGTGACCTTGGGCAAATCCCTTCGCCATCCCGTGCCTCAGTTTCCCCATTGTGTAGAATGGGCATAATCCGGATCTGCAGGAGTTAACAGAGCAGCTCTAGCTCAGTGCCTAGAATTGTTGCCAGGGAGCCTAGGTGCCAGTGTGCTGGGCACAGTGTAATAACCTGAGTGGAACAACCACATTTGTGGCCGCTTGAGTTATCCCTGCATGGCACAGTAGCCAACCCCTGCATCACAGAGACCGCACGTACAGAGGTCAAAGATTCCCTCTCTTCAGCCCCAGGCCTGAGCTACTTGTGCTAAAGGAGAATCGCCACTAGCTGTGGGCAGTATAGGGCTGGTGATGCTGGCTGGCACAGTTCTGATTTCAGCCAGCAGAGGGCGGCAGTGCTACGCCAGTGTGGCTAGTGTCCCAAGGGAGCCCCCTCTGGCCCCGGCTCAGCCGGGGCAGCGGGTGTTGCAGGGGTCTCCGGCGCGGAAGAGGCTGTGGACGCTGACCAGCGGGAACATGGTGAGGGCCCCCAGCATGGAGCCCAGCTGCACCACGGCCCCGCACCACACCAGGGCGCTGCGCCCCTCGTCCCGCAGGATCACGCCGATCATCAGCTTCACGTAGGAGAGCGTCCCCACGAAGAGCACCCAGCACAGCACCTGGGCAGGGAGAGCGGCACGTCAGGCAGCCCCGGCCGGCCTCCCCCGCGGCGCAGGGCGGGCACCGGGCGCAGGGCGCCGACTTACGATGAGCGCCCCCCCGGCGGGGCTCTGCAGCAGGGGCGGGCAGGGGCGCCGCACCGCCAGGGCCCGGATGTT